CTGCCACAGTCTTATGCCTCCCACCATATCTTCCATCCACTTGCACACCAAATGCCGCTAGCCACCGGCATAGTGAGAATACCAGCTCTCGGTCGGCATCAATGATGCCTGCAGCTGCTCGGCCACGAGCAAAACCGCATGAAAGCTGTCCACCAAGGCGAAGACACGCTGGCGTGAACTTGGCTCCAGGAGATGAATAAACTGCAGGGAAGAAATCTCCTGGATATAAATCTCCATTGTCCTGCTGTTCAGCCGAGCGCAGAAGCCAGGTTGCTCCTCCTGCCCGGAGGGAGCCTAAGTCTAACTTCTTCGTGCCCTGTCCCGACCAGCGGTCCGTGCCCAAGCGGTGCATGATGGCCTCAAAGCGGCTTCGAAACGTAGAGGCAGAGTAGGGCCACAACTTACAGCCACCTTTCAGATGGCCAAAGGCCAAGCGTACGACAGCAAGCAAGTCCGGTTGGTCCAGTTTTGCCGACTGGTGACGGGCAGCTTTGAAGCGAGTCTTAGGCTCGCTGATCGACAGCAAGCAGAAATGCACCGTGTCATAGACATCACGAGGCAAGACCAGGTCCGATCGCAGGGCAGCGAAAGCCTCGCCTATCCTGAGGACAGCTCCCCACGTCAGGGCCAGGAGGCCTGCGACCCGGTGCCTTTTCGGACTGGCTGCTTCAACAAGACGAGACTTTCGAGTCGCTGCTTGACCTAAGCCCTGCCACGACTAAAAAGCTCAACGTGCTTTTGGCAACTGTTCGAAGCTGGATGGCCCTACTCTCACCACAGCGAGGTCATCAACGCCGTCAGCAGCCGTGAACCTGCGCTCCGCAGGTCCTTGCAGATGGCCTGGGATCTGGCTTTCGCCTGGCTTCGGGAAGAACCTCATTCTCATCACGTCGCTCTACCTTGGCAGGTCTTGGATGCTGCCATCACGACTGCCCTCATCTGGGGGTGTTCGACCGGTCGGCCCTCGCCCAGAAACAACTCTGATCTGGCCCTGGACCTTTTCAAGTCTGCAGCGTGGCGCGGGCGAAGAACATGGCTCGAAGCGGCTAAGGCGGTAACCCAAAAGAACCAGACCCTGAAAACCCTGAAAGAAGGACCCTCACCAGGATAGCCCAGGGTAGAGTCGAAGGCCTTTGACGCGCAAGGAGCGCCAGCCAAGGGAAGGCCGGTACGCAGGCGGATGCCCGCAGGTAAGGACAACGAGCCGAACCCAGTTAGAGGCCCAACGGCGAAGCTTAGTTTGGGCAAGGGCCTCGTAAAGCTCGTCGGTGCACAGAGAAGTCCAAAAGGATGACTCAGAAGGCACCGGAAGTGGCAGGTCACGGGTGGGACAATCGCCCGGGTTCAGGCGAGTGCGGGAGAGCCCTGCCTACGACCTTCAGGACCTCGGTGCCGTCGAGTGGATTTTGCATTTGCTCGAGCACCGCATCAAGTGTGTCATGCTTGTGCCTCCCACTCTCTACTCGGTGAGGGGCGCTGCCGGCAAGGCGTCGCGGTCCCGCTACTTTGGCCCGCGGCGTTCTTCTGGGTCGGCTCCTGCTGCCCGCCGCGTCTCCGCTGCGCATCGCTGCTTGCTCCTCTTCCAAGCCGCGCTTCGATGTGGTGTCCTTGCCGTGTTGGCGCCTTTCCGAGCCTCCCGCCTTATCGGCTCCTCTGTTTGGCATCGTCTTGTGCTGCTGGGCGCTACCCAGTATGATGTGTGTCAGCGCGCCTTCGGAGGCCCCTGCCGCAAGGGCTGTAAGTTGGTGCCTTGCTGCTCTGGGCCCTTTAGTGACCATGGCGGCTCCTCCCAGCCCGCTGGCCTTTTCCTTTCTTCGCTCTTTGCTAGAGCCGTTGCCTCTGAGATTGACCGTGCTCTGCGTCGTGTCACTCACGTCAGCTCCCTTCGTGAGCCCTCTGTCGAGGGGCTTGAAAGCTGCGTAATCAATGATGTTGCGCTGTCCCTTCGTTGGGTTCCGGGTGCAGATTGGTGTTGGCGGGCCACAGCCCACCTCAGTAAACTTGAGACGGCCTCGATTTTACGGCTGCTCCGCGCCCTCGCTCCCTTTGCTCCGCTGTGGGTTGTGATCCTTGTCGACTCCTCTGTCGCATTTCACTCCTGTGCCAAGGGTCGGAGCCCTTCCCGTGGACTCCAGCCCATTCTCAGAAAGATTTGTGCCGTGTGCGTTGCCTCCGGAATCTACGCTGCCCAGCGGCTAGGCAAAGGAGGAAAGCCACTCTCAAGGGCGTTGTAGCGGGCTGTGAGCTCAGCAGGCGTAAGCCGGGAATGGTGCACAGCAAAGGGCCCTGGAGCCAGCGCGGGAACCCGGCTCGACAGGGGGCTCGGGACTAACTAAAACCCACCCTTCACTAGAACTAGAACCTCTAGGGCTAGACGGGGGAGGGCGGATTGCCAAAGAAAGCTGGCGCAGAGAGTCGGCCAAAGAATCAAGGGCGTCAGAAAGTCCAGGGTCACTCATGCAGGTAGGCCCGTAGGCGATGGTTCGCGGGCCGCTTTGGCTGCACAGGGGAAGCGGAAGCAGGGGCCGGTTCCTGGAGAGGAGCCCTGAAAAGGGTATCCCTCAAGAAACCAAGGGTAAGGACGATCCCCGAAAGAACCCCGCAAAGGAAACAAAGAGTCACAAGCAAGAGCGACCCTTGACAGTGTGAAGGACAACCTAACCCCCACCAGTTGCTAGCAACTCCGCTTTGCACGACGCGAAGTGCCTGCTCGAACCACCACACGCTTTAGCCGCGGCATTTGTATCGTGTTCGTACCTAGCAGGCAGGGGTCAGGGTTTAGGGTTTGGGAAGTTACAGTTAAGAAAATGTTGTAGAGGGCTGCGCGCGGCAGGCGAACATCCTAGAGAGATGCATTGCAATACGAGTGCGCCACGGAGCTTGCAAACGTTGTGCAGCATGCATTGTGGCTCGCATTGCACCGGCATACGCAAGAACATGACTGCAAGGACCACACTGGTTCCATCAGAACAACTGATGCTCCGTCAGAAATTTCACGCGACATTTGTCCAGCAAGCAAGTGGAAGTTCCAATCGAGGCGACGGTCGCAGCGAGGCACCTTCAAGAGTCTAACACTGAAAAGACAAACTCTAAGCCCTAAACATGGCATGGGCGGGGGCGTTTTTGGTCTAACATAAACTTTGTGGAGCGTGGGCGGGCGCACGGAGCTTAGCACTCAGAATTGCCGAGGTTCGTGGTTTCTGTATGTTCAATTCCGGGAGGTGATGTTGGATCAAAAACACTCCCGGAAACAGGCCATGGTGCTTGTGTGGTAGCTCAACGAAGTTTGCAATCAGTTTCTTGAGGCCACGACGAGAGTAACAGGAGCAATGGCGTTGGCGGGTCGACCTGCATTCAAACAAACGGCGGTCTCGTACGTTTGTGGTCTGTGGACGGGCAAGGCAGGTAGAACATGTCAGATCAAGAATGTTCCCAGCAACATGCCCGCTGCGTAATTTCATTATTCGGAATCGCCGAGGTACGCACGTCGGTGTATGTTCAACTCACAAGGACGAAGCTAGGTCAAAAATGATCCACATAAACGGGCGTGGGTGAGTGTCACGGAGTCCCAGTACTCAGAATTGCCGAGGTTTGTGGTTTGCGTATGTTTAATTGCGGGAGGCGATGTCGGATCAAAAACGCACCCGGAAACATGCCACGGTGGCTTTGTCGTCGCTCAACGAAGTTTGCACTCGGTTTCCTGAGGCCACACAGTGGCATCATACGCGTGTGGTCTGCGGACACTCAAGTCAGGGAGGACATGTCAGAGCAAGAGCGCTCCCAGAAACATGCCATGATGCATTTCTCGTAGCTCAATGAGAAGTTTGCAATCATTTAACTTCAGTTTGGTGCTGCGTGCGGCGTGGTGTGTAGTCGTATCACTAGGAATTGCCGCGGTACGCATGTCGGTGCACGTTCAATTCATAAGGGCGAAGCTAGG